GCCGAGATCCTCCTGTCCTGGGAGATCTTGGGGCCAGCGCGGGAGCGAACGGTGATCTGGAGCCGCTGACTGGGGGAAGCCACAGGGCTTTGGGCGTCTAGTTTTTGGGGGCTTGAGGGATTCTTTTGTGTTTTTTGTCATGCGAAGAAGGTTTGAGGGTTCAGGTTGGACTTCCATGTTTACAAAGGTGTTGGGGCTGCACCGTGGGTTTTCAGACTGTATATGTCAAAGGAAGCTCTGAAGCTTTCTGAGCAGCTGTTCTGCGCTGGGCGTGCCTGGCGATCCAACAGCTTTCTGTTACAGGGAATGCCAAGAGACCTGCGAGTGGGCAGACGGTGCAATTGAATTCAAGGATCTGTCAACAGAGCACGGTACATCCAGAGGTATGGGCGCATGCATTTCGACCTCGAGCCTCAGGTCTCGTGCAATAAACAGAAGCCACTACAGAACATCACCGCTGCCAGGAGCTCACCACGTTTATTGCAAAACTATCGCACTAGCCGCAATCTTCGCTGCACTGTGTACGCGTGCTTGAGCCATCCGGCAAGTAATTTCATGAGTTCCGCGGAAACAGCCAAGCCTGGAGTGCAGCCCCTATCCACCCAAAGCCCTAAAGCTCCCGACACATACCTCACAACTTGGACCAGGATCGTTTTCATGATGATCTCGGTGACCACGATGTCGTCCATGACGCCGAACATGGACATCTTTGGGCGTGGGACTCACTGTCTAGACACGACTTGGGGAGTGAAGTCGGGCCCAATTCACCCATGAGCTGCAGATCGCCTCACACCAACTGGCTGCAATGACAGCTACCTTCGGCGTAAACTCTCCGATCAACAATCGGCAATCAGTTTTTCGGTTCGACAGTTCGTGCAATCGACACGGCTCCGCACGCCCGTTCCTTTACCATGAATTGAACCTGCAAGTGTGACATTCCAAACCCATCCCGGCAACATCGAACCACTGATGAAGACCTTTTCCGCTCTAGGCATTTGGGCGGAGCTTTGGGTGGATTCCTGCTGTGAGGCCCTCAGGTGTGGGCAGAGCTGCAAGATGCGCTTCTGCACAGGAGCTTCATGAGCCAGAAGCACGCAGCCCCAAGCCACACATCACCAGCGTCAGCCGGCGCCACTACGCTCCCGACTTCAGGTCCATTGCCATCAGCGACATGAAGGAAGAGGACCGTCCAGAGTGGTACGACCAGGCCCACTGACATCCTAGGCCTTCTGCATATTTCAGGTCCTACGGAGTAATTCGACCGTGACTTCAAACGAATCGTCAAGATCCCGACACTCCGGTGCGATGCAGGTCCGTGGTGCGGCCGTGCTTGGCCTGATCATGTGCCTGGGCTTGGCTTGGTGTTCGAAGGTCGGAGCTTTTGTGGTGAAGGCTGAATATGAGTGTCTCCAGGGACGTTCCTCGCATCTCGATCAAGTTTTTCTGTAGCAAATCGGTAACAAAGCTATCGTGTGGGCCGTACAATGCAGCAGCTCGGCACCGTAACATTCGGACATGAAGGAAGAGGTCTGATGATCTCTGTCTACAACTTTCACTTGCAGAAGAAAAGCTGCGCTGAGCCCATGAGGTGCATGGGCATGGGCTTCACCAAGGCGCGCTGCTGTGCATAGAACCCCAGTCCCTCGATCCAGGAATGATCAACCCGTGATGATCACTGCAGAGAGGTAAGGGTAAGCCTCTTTGCCCCAACAGTCCATGAGGCCTTCATGGTCAACCCCACCGACCCGATTCCCGACTGCCGTGAACCCAGTGTGCAATTGCATCGGGCGCCAGCCCGAAACCCCATTACGGCCTGTTAGGTACCATTCTCAAAGATTCCTACCCTAAGTATGAAACCCATCGCAGCTCTAAGTGCTACCCCTCCCCCTTGTGCACGCAAGGACTAGACGACTTCTCCCTTTTTTCAGACCTCTGGCTAAGGTCTTAGATGTACAGGGGCTTTTGAATGATAGTCATCGCATGTTGATAAGCTCAGTAACAAAAAGAGCAGCTATCCAGCAGCAATGACAGCAACCCAGAATATCATGTAATCATGGTAGCACTCGTAATCCAAACAGAGGTAGTACTAGTATTCATGGTCGTAATCGTAATCGTCGTCGTGATTCTCATCGCTTAGTCGTCCATGGTGCTCATCTCTGAGGCCAGATCTTCAAGGCCCTCAGCGATGCGCTGAAGGCAGCAACCGCGAGCCATGGACACATGGCTTGAGAGAGGCCGGATCCGGTTTCTTCCCGTTCCGTTACACTCTCGCGAACCCCAAGCCCGGAGACCCCTGTCCTGTGGATGAGGATCGGTCTGTCAAGTTCGACAGGAAAGGGTTCTTCCCGACGTTGAGGGCTGGACTTGATCGTTGAATTAGTGAGAAGTGCTAGCCAGCCTTGCTCGACCGTAAGAAAGAGCGGGTTCAGGAAGTTGAAGCGAAGTTGCAGCATGGTGTCTTTTACCCCACTCTGCCAGGTGCCAGCAGGCCGAAGACAAAGGCTGCATGCCTCTGCGGGATGTGGCCCCCGGGCAAGTGAAATCAATCGGTGTAGCGTGAGCCCAACGTTCCATAGGAAAGTCGGACAGTTTGTATACAGTATGCTGCAGCTACGTAAGCCAATTAAGTACAGATCCGTTTATGTGTAACCTTTTCGGCTTCCTATTTCGACTTCGCTTCTGGGTTCTCGACTTGACTGTTGTGTGGCAACGATTCCTGCATGCCGACCAAGCCCACTGCTTCAGTCTCTCACACACTTGTACTGTAGCTAGGTCAGAAAAGAAAGCCATAAGGCAGCGCCGGAACATCTTTGGGTTCATGCCGGCACCGCCGCTCGAAGTGTGGCGCGAAAATAAGCTGCACACTTGTCGGGCAGAGCAGTCCCCGAACCCTCGGCGTCCGGGGCGAGGGTTGGGGAGGGTAGCCATGGTCAGAAGACATTCCAAGGATAGGTGCTTAGGGCCTTGGGCGCCTGCATTAGCGTGTAGGATTTGCTTTCGCGGGTTTGATGTGCGGCATGGGGCAGCATCTTGATCTGGACCGCCTCATAAGGAGCCGTTCCTTTCAGTTTCCTCTGAGAGGCGCGCCTTTCCCCTCCGAATCTGTCTTGATCATGCTCTTGGAAATCATGCCTTGACTTCCTTTGCTGTCCCTGCTTGCCCCACCTCAAGAGTCGCATTGCGAGCAGCTGCACGTATCCTGCAAAGACGTGGAAAAGAAAGGCAAGCTCCAGGCTGCACTTTCGCAGTTTCATGAGATTAGGTTTTCCAGTTTTGCAGAAGTTGGTTTCGGTCGCTGCGCTCGCGCATGACACCACAGAGTCAGCATCTTCTGGAGATAACGGGCCCCAACACTCAGACCCTAAGTTGTAGAAGCCTTATCAAAGGACGGCTTTCCATTGGCTGAGTGCCAGGGCATTGGGGCTCGGTTCCCGTCCCATTCTGCAACAGAAAGAAAGCCAGAGCCCACTTGCAATTCTCCTGAGTCCCACGACAGCGCCGCTAATGCTGCGTGCTTTCCCAAACAAGGTCCACCTGCGCAGGCCGTTGAAACAAGTTACCTGATCTCGCCGGCATTGAGGAGTGAACGAGACCTAACAGCCTCAGTTGTTCACCCTATTATTGAAGCGACTTGTTGTAGCTGTACGGCTCCACAAGAAATCGTCCGCTGATGGCATGATTCTCCCGCGAGTGCTTATATCCCTTTGGTTTCTGACTTCAGCCAAGACGCTGAATTCAGGCTATTTCGAGCTGTGTTCTACAAGACTGCCATCGCCATCGATTTCAGGTCGCACTCAAAAGGAGAAGGCGAGGAGGAACAGCTCAAGTGGACATTCTTGTGATCGTGGCATCGGCACCATCGTGTGGCATCCGGACGGTTTTCTTCCGAAACAAAAAACCTGCAAAAGTCAGATGTCTTGGCTTCGTACCTAAGCCCTGCACCCCTGCATTCAATGCAGGACGGATCTTCTTTCTGCTGCCCGGCAGCCGCCGCATGGTGTGGTGGCTGTGCCGCACCGACCGCAGACGGCGCTGCTTGTGGCGAGTGCCTAGGTGGCTGGACTCTGAGCCCGGTCACATGTAGAAAGCCCTTTTTTTTTTTTTTGGAATTCTGACTGCTAATTCTTCTCTAAGCTCTGGGTGTGCGCGGTGATGGTTGCAGCCCAGGGAGGATGGGCATTGCACAGCCTGCATGGACTATCTCGGCTGGCGCGACGAGCACGGTAGGAATTGCTTTGCTGCCTCAAAGGGCCCCGACGGCTGCAGCTCAGACCGCCCTTGGGCTCAGAGTTTCATCACTGCTGAAACGGCTCGCAACAACACCTGAGTTTCCCATCCAAATTGGAATTCCTCGTCCAGGTTTCCACGGTGCTTCTGCCAGAACCGCTTGTTGCGGCTGTGGTGGTGGTCTGCGAGCCGCGACTCCCTTTCGATACTATGCCGTGCCCGGTCTCTAAATCGGATTGCCGAGTCTTGAGCTGCTTAGTGCCGTAGTCGCTACCTCAAAATCCTTGGATAGATGCATTGCCGCTGGTGGTCAGCCTGAGATTGCGGCTTGTAGTACTACTACACAGCATGTCCGTAGCTCATCATGTGCGCAAGCGTTGACATTCTCTCTCTCCCTCTCACCCGGTCAAGGATTCTAGATTGACTTTGAGGCATTCACATTTGCTAAGGCAGAGAGGTTTAAGAACGCCAGGAGCCGCTGCTGATTGGGCAGAGCGCTGTGATTGGCCACCCACTTCCACGAACGGCGTCGCACTACTCGGTTGACGCGGACTGCAAGCTGCTAGAGTTCAACCTGACTATCAACGGCACAACAGGTGCCACATACTGCAAGCCTTAGGAAACAAGTAATGAAGATAGCCAAAAGCTTTCGGCAGACATAAGCTGCGACCAGGACACCTCCCTGCATCCTATCTTTGTTGGGCATTCCACTTGTCTTCTGAGGGCAGCTTCAGCTCCAACATGGGTGCGACTCCGTTGGCTGTGGCCGAGCCATGGATGACTTCCAGGTAACCTGTATTGTGACAGCTCATCAAGGTGGGGGGTTCGGCGTTTTGAACGAGCTGTCTTTTCCAACTTTCAGTTGGTAGTGGCTGAGGCATGTCGAACGATTCCTTGTGGTGCTGCGTCTGCTAGCGGGTGTCCAAATGTGTTGTATTTGTAGTGAGCTCGTTGTGCTGTTCTTTGGGGATGTTCTGCTCTTAGCACCAAGTTGTTCCTAAAACCATGCACAATACCAGAAGGCACCGTTGTCCGGAAGAAGTTTGTCGGAGCAAGAACCCCGAATGATCAGGCGACTTGGAGGCGTCAGCACAGCTTCACATCCTTGCTTCTAACTTCATGGTCTACGAGAGCTCCGCCCTCGATGAGTCGTGCTTGACAGTGTGCATTGCTTCCGAGCGTTCCGTAGAGCCCGGCAAAATCCGCATAAAGGTTTGGCCCTCGTCGTGGCCGGCGGCAAGAAGAGCTTTCCCGCTCGCTTCCATCGTTCAGCGGCTCCGGGAGGCCGGGGAGAGGCCGTGTGCGTCCCTTCAGGGCCCCGCTGAGGACAAAAAGGATTTCTGGCCTCCTGAGGCCTGGCTCTCGCGTGCCTTCCGACTCCAGAGCGAGCACCATGGCAGCTGGAAGCCGACGGGTCCTTGACCGTCGATGCTTCGCGGAGATCCAGAACAGGACAGCCCCCAGATTTTCCTGGTGCTTCTGCCATGCTGTTTGGACGCGCGCGAGGGTAGCGACGTAGACTGAAGAAGAGCCCAGAAACCGCCACTGTCGACAGGGCTCACCAACCTCACCTTGCCATGGCTCTCATCGGCGCCGGGGGGCCTTTGCCAGGCGTTTCCGGGAACAATGGGTGTGTTGAGACGATGGGATTTGGGGCTTTGAGGTTTGTGGCAGGTTGGGGCTGTCTTGTGGTTTGGGGTTTGGGTCATGGGGCGAGTTCAGTATGTACTGTTCAGTCGGCTTTCCTCGTGCCTTCTTCAGGTCCGGAATGCCTCCAACCAGACATTCAGCGTGCTGGTCCTTCTGCCAGAGACATGGGCCAAGATTGAATATCCACATGACACTCTGCAGCTCGGTTGCTGCTGAAAACATCGCTGCCAAGCGCCCGATGTCTGACTTCAATTAACGCTCTGAACCCGCAAACCCATCCATCCCCTAAACTTCCATATCATTTACCCTTAACTCCTAGACCCCTAGACTTTGAGCCCTACAGTCCCAAATTCCCAAACCCCAGAATCCCTGAACCCCCAAACCAGGTATGTGACGCCCGGCACCAGCTTCGGGCCGGCCCTAAACCCAAGCAGCGGGGGCGAGGGCCACGTAGCACCAACCCGCTTTTCAGCTCACTGCGAAGCGAAGTGGCCGGGATTGAAGACGAAATCGGGGGTTCAAGGTTTCGGGACCCCCCTACAATTGCAGACCCTCATTCCCGAAATCCCAATACAATTGCAGATTCGGGATGTTCGGAGTTTAGGGTCTAGGTTGTGTGGTTCTTCTTATTCAAGAGCTCCAGCCTTCTCAGCCGCCAGTGCGGTCTGTCCCAAGGACAGTGGCCATTGAAGTTGTTTTCGACGAGCTGACAGGCGTAGCATCCGCTGCTGGATTCACGCTGTTTCATCTGAATGTGCAGACGGGGGCATTGAAGTTGGCCCCAGAGGAAAGAGTCTCAAAACTCTTGGATGGAGTGCAATCGAAGTCTCACCGAGGGCGTCTGGAGCTGTCCTGCAAGATCTTTGGACTCTTCGAATGGCAAGTCGGGGTGCCTGTGCCGCCTATTCTTGCGACCCTGGACGTGTTGGTGCAGGATTCAACCTGCTGGCAAGATACGCAAATTCCCGAGGCACATGTGGTGCAGACTCTCAGCGGTATTTCAGAAGGAGACTGCCGTGGAGCTTGCCGCTCGGATGTGCGATGCGGGGCCTACAACTGGCAGTCAAAGAAATGTAATTTCCTTGCTCCGTGCGGCCCGAATCCCGCAGCCAGGAGTGCCAACGAGAAGACTTTTCAATAGTTGTTTCGATAAGGGCGACGTCCATTTCTGAACGAACATCTATACCATAAACTTACCGGGTTCGTGGCCGCAAAGTCCTTGCCGCAAGGTTGCGGACTGCCAGCTCTTCACGGCGTACGTGAAGATCACGAACTGTAGCGCTGAGCACACGTGCCTGAACCTAACCGGCTCGAAGCCAGTTGCCCAGTGAAAGTTGGGCAGAGCTGTCGCTTTTTCCACGCCCGTTGCCCGTGCGAATAGAGGTTTCAGAGCTGATAGAAGCTTCTGTTTGTCTGTTGCTTCCAACTTGAGCCAAGAAAAGTGTCCAGGTATGGCTCTACAGTGGCCTCTTCTGTCCCATCGCCTTCGAGAGGGCCGTGGTCGCTTCGGCAGGCTCCGGGCCAAAGCTTATTTGGAAACCCCGAACCTTGAGGGCGTGAAGGCTTTCGGGGTCCAACCCTGGCCGTAGTTGCTTCAGGATGGGTCTTCCGGAAGAGTGTGGCAACGCCGCAAGATGTGTTCTATTTGGCTCCCGAGACGAGCGAAGCCGCCAAGTGCGACGGTGGGCTTCTGTTGATCAGGAACCTTGGGATGCCACATGAGAACAGCTTTATGCGTTTGCTGCAGATAAGATCCCATGGCGACCCATAAGAGGAGCAACAGAACCTGGGATTTCGAGAATACAAGCTCCAAGTACATCGAGCTCTTTGGCGAGCACGTTGCTTGCCTCACGGCAGATGTTCCACACGGCGTCGTGCAGGCCACCTTTGACAAAGGCAGGCAGGACTTGAAGATCAAGAACGAGCAGACCTTCATCGGCAAAGGCAGCCTGGTAAGAAAGAGAGTAACGGATGCGAGAGATGGCCGAGGGATAGGCTGGGGGCCACACGTCCTTAGTTTTCGTAGCCGAGGCCTGCAGCTGACTTTGAAGCCGCAGGCGTGCCAGGCTCCGGTCCTGTCGCCAGAGATGTCAGAAGCGCTGATGGTCGACGATCCGAGCACCACCACGGAGACGCGGCCCTAAGCTCGCACCACTCGAAAAGCTTCCTCTTTACGTGTCTACACATCTTGTTGTTGTAGGCCAAGCCTAAGCCCGAAAAGCTGGAGGCATCGAACACAGCTCTAATTCCCGCCGTCAGGGCAGGGGTTCCCAAGATTGGGGATGTGTAAGACACGGGGCTGAGCAGGACATGGACTATACTCTCCATGCTTGCGACTGCTTTCCCCAGAGCTGGACGGGCGACCCGGTGACTCCCAAGAGCGCTGGCCAGCTGCCGCCGGGCAGTGACAACGTGCCTGGGCCATTCATCGCTTGCGCGGACGGGCGCTTCCCTTCTGTGGTTGCAAGTAAGGTCCTGATTCGCAAGACATATGTCGTATCACTTCAAAACGGTGATGGATGTAGTTAAACCGGCCTTGTCAAGGAGTACGTGCCGTTGGCCATTGACATTGCCAGAGGCTCGCTGGTTTGTGAGCAGGAGTCCTTGCTGGCGTTGCGCCTTGGGCTGAACAAGCCTTAAGACTTGGCTCCTGCAGGTTTTTTCTGTTTTCTCAGCCTGCCTGGGGTGCCTCCCGCAGGTACATGCTCGATGCAACGCGCCAGGAGGAATGTCACCATGCCTGCCAGCTAAACACCAGCTGCCGATTCTTCTGGGTCGGCTCAGCTGCTGCAGTTTCACAGTGTCGGCTCTACACAGCTTGTCAGACTTTGCTCACCGAGGTGCGTGCTTAGAAAGCCAGACCCCAAAGAAGCTGCTCGCAACACCCATGCAGGCAGGTGCCAGTGGCACTCTGGCAGCTCGATCATGGGAGAAAGTCTGCCGCCGTGCGGACCCAGAGAAGCACCTTTGTCGAAGTTGAAGGGCATGCATGGCCAGTATACCAAACGCTAGGCCCCAAAGCGGTGGTGAAAAACCTGCAGACTTCAATCAAATTGAAGAGCTCTCAGGTGCTGGGCCAGCTTTCGGCGGGGCTTCCTGTTCGCCAGGACAAGCACGTTTGGTCCTGGCGATTGTGCTCACCAGGCTCTGTACTGATAAGTTTTAGAGGTTGATTTGGGAGTATGCGGCTTCTGCGTAGGCTGCGGGCCTAGCGGCGGCCTAGGCCAGGGCCCGGAATATCCCACGAGGCCTTGCTGGAGCAGTGCGACGTTAACTTGATGATGGGCGGCGAAGGAGTGGAGGACTGCCGGACCCCAAAGGCAGAGAGCGCCAGTGCCGGAAATGCTCAACGCGCAGGACTGCTCACGCTGCGTCTATGCTTCTCTCGGCTCGGGGCGAAGGCGGGAAGGTCACCCTGCTGAGAGGGCAAAGCTTCCGATCGAAAGGCCTCTGAAATTCAGTCGTCCGATCGATCCCAGCCTCTGCAGACACGAGCATCTGTCATGTTCAGGAGTAGAGAGAGCTGCATGCAGTTGATCAGTGTTAGCATGACATTTCGCCGCACTCGCCAGATCTGTTACGACATTTGCATTTCGAACATTGTTGGCCTGTACCATTCTGTAGCTCACAAGGCCTCAGGAGGCTACAGAGGACAGCACAAAAAAGCAATCATGTGAGAACCGGTCGGTTTCTGATCAGGCGACGGTGGCAGCAGAAGCGTCAGCTCTCGGGCAACTTCGCTTCTGGGCCACTCTGCACACGGCTTGAGGCTTGAGGGCGATTCAGCTGCCCGGTGTCCGGTGTGTGCTTGCAGCAGCAGGTGTGCTCGCAGGCGTACGTGATCTCTTAGTTCAGGCTCAATGGGTTCACTCTTCTCTGTTTCTTGAAGCTTGACATCTGTATTGTTTAGTTTTTGTATGTTGAGGTGCTCGCATCTGGTGTTGTCAGTGTTGTCTTCTTATCCCACCCGGCGTGTCTTGTACTGGTCTGCGGTTTCTCCATGTCTGTCTAGCTTTGCAAAGTATCGTGTCGTATCGCATTTTCTTTCATCGTTGTTATGCTTGGTACAATGATTGAAGCCTGTGTTACCGAATGTACGGTAAACGACAGCATCAGGTGTCACGTCTACCACTTCCGGCATATCGCTGTATCATAGATTGAGAATTTGGAGAAGTCGATCGGGATTGTCGTAACTGTTGTTGAGGGCTTTGATCCGGCCTGCCTAAGAACTTGTTCGGCAGCCATATCAGGTCCCAGCTGGAAATCTCTTGCTGGTCCGGGCGCTACGCTGCAGTGACCCCTTGGAAGGCTGGTACCCAGAGCAAGAGCACCTTGAGCCGCGAATGAGTTGGGTTAAGTTGAGGCTTAAGGTCGGGTCTAGGTTGATGCTGCTTTGTCGACCTTGTGCCAAAGCCGTCGTGCATTGTCTCGGCTCTTCCTTCCCTCGCTGTTCCCGAGGCTATCGGCTGAGCTGCTCCGGTGGGAAGTGGTGGGGTCCCCATGGTGAGCCCGGCTTCTCCGGCTTTGCATGCGGGCCATGTGTGCAGGCAGAAAGTTGAGGGGAAGGGGTTCAATCTGTCAGACTCGCCGACGGGCTCGTTGGTACTGAGTGCCAAGTTGTCGAATTTGGATCCTCCGCATCCGGAGGCGGAGGATTCGCGCACGATGTTACGCGAGAATCCACCAGTTTTAATGGTGTCCTTTCCTGACAAAAAAACGCACTGCCTCACGGGATGGTAGAGCTGGGGATTGTAGGGTGCTCCAGCCTGTGCAGCACGAGCACATGTCTGTTTCCGAACTCTACATACATGATTCAGGGGTCCACTCTTATTATGATAGTGAAGCTGAGTTTGAATCGGACAGCCAAGAATGCCGTGGTTGAATGAGGTAAACTCCCTGACATGTTTCCCACGTCGAGATCTTCCGATTCTTTGCTCGGTGACACCAAGCTTCTAAGACTGTCTTCCGCTGTCCTTGCTGTTTGTGGGTGCTGGAGGTGGTGCAGCCGGACTATGTGGGCTATCAGGAGCCCGTCAGGGTTTTAGGGAATTCGGGGCGACCGTGCCACTGCAGCTGCGAAGGAGAAGGGCGAGCAAGAGCTGTTCTTCCTGCCCAACCTGAGCCTAAAAAGCAAAGAGTGCTGGTTGTTGTGACAAAGGCAAACTATTGTCAACCTCACACTGCTGGATGCCAATTTTGCCAGACTCCAGGGACCTCAACATCGGCTTCGATGCCTTGACACCTATGGTCGTTTCCTCCACGGGCGACCTCGTCCCTCGGCAAGGGTGGATGTGAGGTGTGGGGCACACGTGAGGCTGAGTCTAGCCAAGTTAGGTAGTAGAACACCATGCAGGTTAGACATAACATGCACGCAGCAGCTGACGAAGGCGCAGTGCCCAGCCATATGCATTCCAAACTGTGGTTTAATGACTTGGAGGCATCGTGCGAGGAAACCAGAGTTATCGGAGAGGGACGCCTCCTCCCTTTCTGGACTTCTCAAGAGCTAGCTCTGGCGTCTTCGAGGTCGATGGCTCGCTGAAGGGAAGGCCTCGAAACGAGAGCATCGAGGCCGGGCCTCAAGAGGACCGGACGGGCCGGTTCCAGAGGATGACGAACTGGAGCAGCATCGTGAAGAGGCTGTGGGAATTCGCGAAGAGGCTTGTGTGTCGGTTGATGCTCTGCAGGACAGCTCGCTGCTGCAGTGGAGGGCCCGGGCTGAAAGCCGTGGAGCGGGCCCACAAGGAGCTATCGGGGTTTGGAGACTTGGAGAAGCATGGGAGGTCGGAATCTTCCGACTTTTGAACTCGGTTATCACCTCGGGAGTTTGGCGGTGTGTGCGCGACCCAGGAGCGTGCGCCACAATCTTTTCAGCGATCGCACCTTCCAGCTTAGCACGGGTCTGGTCAACAGCAAGTGCCTGGGTCTGAAGTGAGTTCTGCCTCATTACAGTAGGCTAAACGGGAGCTCTCAAGAGAAGTCTGTGCGAGACCAGCTTTGAGAAGAGACCCAGAAGGTGCTTGGAAGGCTCTGCGCTCGAGTTTGACACGTCGGCCTGTCAGGACTCCCGCCTCTCGGTGGTTTCGTTCAGGTTGGCAGTTGGCTTGTGTTCCTGCACGTGCAAGCCTCTAAGCACAGTAGACGTGGGAACCGTGAATGCTACGACGTTACACTGCAAAGAGATTCCACAGCGCTGGGCTGATGTTCCTCCCAGACCTCGGCTCAGTCTCCTCAAAGTCGTCTTCCAATCCCCAAGCCCGCATGCTCCACAGCTCCCGGCTTGCGCAGACGAGCTTTGTGGCCAAGCAGCAGTTCCAGCATCCATCGGTAGCTTGGCTGCATCGCGGACATTATCGGGTGCCTCCAGCTCTCCAGGGCTTGCGAGCACTGCAGCACTGGCCTGAAGGGTTCTGGGCACAGGTCTGCTTACATGTTTCTGTGCATGCTTCTTGGTTTAATCGGCCCAGCTATAATTTTCAAAAAGGTCGGGTAGTGGTTGTCTATCTGTCCCTCGCCTTCTCAACCCTTCCTGCTGTCGTGCATACTTACGTGTATCCTGCATCAATGTGCATAGGCATACCATAAGCACAAGGATGTCTGCACTTGCATGTGTGTGGGTGCATGTCCGTATAAACAAACATGCATGCACGGTGGGTAGGTAGGTAGGTAGGTA